GGGTCCAAGTGAGCGAGACACTCATGTTGGAGAATGAGGAGGAAGTTCGTTGTGCATTGAAAGTGTTCCTGTGCGGCTGCTCCCACAATTCCCACCGCGGTTAAATATAGGCTGCTGTTGTGAGGGGCTGGGTTTGCCCCCCTCAGGTCCGCGCTCCTTTGTTGTTCCATTTTTTTTTATAGGAGAATCTCAAACTGAGATTGAATTACAGCACTTAAAGGTTCACCCCCTAATCTCACAGCACCTGATGTTCATGCAGCAGGTGTCCAAAGAGAGCGAGGGGGACATTTTCGTACCACCTGGGCTCTATATGTGTGGTCGTATTGTTATAGGAAGTTTAWAGGGTATCAGATCTTTATTCAGATATTTTTTTGACCCACACAAAAGCCTAAAAGCTATTATGTTATTTAAACTGACCCWGTGTTTAGTGTCAGACCCTCCAGCATCACTTTTAAGGTGCTCTGTGTGGTAAGCCAGGAAGACCACCCCTTTAGCCCTTATTTGAACTTGTTGACGGCTAAATTGGGGCATAATTTGGGGGTGGCAAATAGGCCCGCTGTTGCACCATTGTCATAGCGGGGGCTTCTCCTGCTGAAGGATAATAAACCCATTGTTTCTACGAGTTTGGGCTGCTCACCTGTTGGGCCTCAGAGGATGGATGTGGTTCTGGATGGCTGCTTCCAAATGGCTTCCTCCAAGGAGAGCGTAGAGGTCAGCGGGGGTCATTCAGGTACTGATTTTTCTGGAAACCCCCTCACCTAACATTCGACCAGTGTTGAGTCTGCAGCTGTGATGGGGGGGGGGGGGACCGAGACTGTTTACCCGAGATCACGCTTCCCCACCCTCTCATTCCGCCTGCAGTCCCTATTTCTTTTCTAAAAAGGAAGTCACTCAATCCCCAGACATCCCTCCTCCCCTCATGTAAACGTATTGTTTGAATACAGTAGTAGTAGCACATGGATAAAAATGCAAGGAAGAATGTTTGGGTAGCGTGATTGTGTTTTTTTTCTGCATGAAGCACGTTGAAGGGAAAGTTGACTTTTCACACACTCTGAAGCCTTCCAGACAGTTTTCCTGTGTTTTCCTGTTTGGGTCTGCAGAAACGTGCTTACAGTATGTCTCAGAAGAGAGTCGGGGAAGCACAAACCCCTCCCTTCATGTCTGTGCTTCAGTGCTGCTTTGTAGTAAAGCTGTGGAAGTGGACAATGGTAGACACGCAGAGAAGTGTTTGTCTGCAAACCCCAAAGTTAGTATTAAAAGCTGTTTTAATTAGAGAACCAGCGTTTCTTTAAAGGATGCAGATCGTCTCAAGCTGAGTAACGTCACCATTTTGAATATAAACACAATTTTATGCAATGTTGTGACACTTCTCACTCACAGTATGATACACTTGGGATATTTTGCTAACAGTACAGACAAACAAATGCACATGAACACTTATAGAAAATCACTCAACACTCTGCATTCACTGGACTTTTAGATCAACATTTTGAACACTAACCCACAGACAGGTGTGGGCCAGATCTGGTGTCAAGCTGGCACTTCTGGCTTTTTGTCAACCTGGCTGTGGGCCAGGCTTGGCAATGATGATACTGCTTATAAGCTGGCATTCCACAGTTGAGGTTTGGTTTATGTGGACAGAATATGTCAGTTTCACAACTGGCCTGATTATGGTTTGGTTTATGTGGCCCAAGTCTGTCAATTCCATAACTGGCCCAGTTATGGTTTGGTTTATGTGGCCTGCATCTGTCAGTTCCACAACTAGCCCAGTTGTAATTTGGTTTATGTGGCCTGAATCTGTCAGCTCAACAACTGGTCAGGTTGTGGTTTGGTTTATGTGGCCCAAATCTGGTTTAGTTTATGTGGCCAGAATCTGTCAATTCCACAACTGGCCCAGTTGTGATTTAGTTTATGTGGCCTGAATCTGTCAGTTCAAGAACTGACCTGGTTGTGGTTTGGTTTATTTGGCCCAAATCTGTTTATTTGGCCCACATCTGGGTCACCAAAAGGCTGTCATTATTTGCAGTATCAGGGCCAGCTGTTGCRTGGGCCAGAASTGGGCCAGACAAATTTTATTATGTGGGAATAAACTACGCAAATGACCAAATTTCCCAGTTTATTCACATATTTTGCAATGTCCCACTCACACTGAGCAGTGCAACGTCAAATTAATTTGCCATAATTATGTCTTTGAGCTATTTTCCCTTCATTTAAGCTGCCTTTGACGTGCTTTATGTTGTTCAGTCAGCAAGTGATAAAGTATAATTAAGGAGGGGGAAAAAACATCATTTAATAAAAGAACAGGTAGAAACATGAATGAAAACCTCTTGATTTTAATTAAGGGAATTCACCCAATTAATTTGCATAACTTAACCCTGTAATAATGAGTGACTTCAGTCATCAGCTGGTAGACAGTCTGGATTCAGTCATCTGAAACTGTGCTTAATGTGGCTGGACTGAGCGGCGAAGCTAGGCGTGATTTAGAGAAAGATTATTGCTTGAATCTCCACTTCAAAGAAACCACCCGGCTCCTGACTTTCATCAAAGGATACGTCAACAATCACTGCAAACAAATAGAAGTCATATTTTTTTATCTGCCAATAAAAAAAGTGTTTTGCAACGATTTCTGGCATGAAAGGTTATTAGGTTGGGGGCGTCAGTGATAGCGTTATTAGACTTAATGTTTGAGTGGCGTGGAGCTGTTGCAACATGTGAGAAATGAGGGATTTGAAAGGGGTGAGCTTCCATTTGTTAGTTCACAGACATGTGGAAAAACAATAAATTACCCACTGCCTGTAAGGACTACAATTAAACCCCACAGTGAAAGATAACAGAAAAAAAAAGGTTTTCATTCTGTCCAAATGTAATTGTGTTGGCTGAACTATGATGTTCAAAGATAACAGGAGCCAAAAAGACTGGATTTTTGTTCATAAAACCTGTTGGAACAAAGGAGAACAAAATACAGTTGAAATGCTAAAATGTTTGTTTGAAGTGAACTAAATCAAAGATGAGCAATAAAAAAATACACACAGGGTTACAACAAGCCAGTCTTGGGTTTTCCTCGTATCCAACATTTTAGCTTCGAGCTTTAGTTTTAAAATGTTCTTGCAGACATGAGATTGGATCACTTCTTATCTAAATCCTTGCCAAAAAGGAACCATTAACATTCACAACACTGATGCTCCAGCAAAGTACAACCCTCTGGATCATGGAAATATTTAAATTCTTCTCCATTTTCARACCCTTTGTTGCGCTGGCATTAGATGGAATCTACAGATTACTCATAAAGTGAGCAAACTGATRCAGAGACAGAACATTACAAACACCATAAACAGCTCTGTTTCAGTGCATTGACCAGATGATGTCATGCAGGACCGTGGTAGGTTGATGATTTTGTTAGGGTCAGCTGTTGATGACTAGAAGGCATTTAGCTGAAATAAATCAATTTTCATCAACACCATTAAACTTAAAAAAACCATTTGGTTTTATTAAAAATCACTCAAGTACTTAATGAAAGTCTTCTCATCCACAGAACTGAAATGTGGTACCAAGAAAATATTCCCATTATTTCATGATATAAATACACTAAATTAACTGTTACACATTATATTTTCAATAAGCCAATGA